AGGCTTGGGTCAAATTCCTGTTCACAGAGGTTCACAATACCTAAGTTCCACAGTATCTTTTTCAGAGAAAAAAAATTCACATGTTAAAAGGTTATCACATGATTTATCTGAGTTCAAAACATTTATAATTTTATTAGTACTTCTAATACTGGACAACTCAAAGAATCATATTTCTAGAAAAAAATACACACACATATATAATATATACATATATACACATATATGCATATATACTAGGTTTTATGCAAGTGATATAATTTGTATTTTAATTGTTATAAGGCTTGTCTTTAAAAATAACATTTAAATTTACAATTAGCAAATAACAGCAATGTTGTTAACGATGATCAACTATGAAAGACTTAGCTACTCTGATCAATACAATGATCTAGGACAATTCCAAAGGACTCAATGATGAAAAAATACCATGCATCTCCAGAGAGCACTAAGGAATTGAGTACAAACTGAAGCATAATTTTCTTTTTCCTTTTTTTAAAAAATGTTTTGCATGATTTCACATGGATAATTAATATTATACTGCTTGCCTTCTCAGTGGGTGGAAGGGAGAGAATTTAGACCTCAAAATTTAAAAAGAAAAGGATACTTAAAATAAATAATAAATTAGAAAAGATAAATTTACAATTAGAAATGCACTGACATTTCATTAAAATAATGACATCAATTCACCCCCTCACATCCACATATTCTAAAACGTAACTGATAAATGTCAATAAAAACTTAACAAGTAAAGAAAATCTCAACAGGCTATTTGTAAAATTGAGAAAACTAGTAACTAGTTTACATTTGAAAGAAATGTTACTGACTTTCAAAAACTGTCAAAGAAAATGACAACTTTTTATGCCTCAAAAGTAGCACATAATAACACCTATGGCTTAGAAACAGAAGTTATGCTGTCTTGAAAAACTAGGCTGGTATATGCAAAACCATTCTGCTGAAATTAATTTTATTAGCAAGCAGAATCCTAAGACCACAGAATTTTGAATAACTAATCTAACCTACTTCTACATAAGGAGAAAACTGAGGCCTTTATGGGGGAAATGACTTGCCCAATGTCTCAGAAGCAGAAAGCAAGAATCAGGATTCAAATTAAGGTCCAAGGCCTCCAAATTCAGTGCTATTTCCACTGCACTACAGCCTCCTTGCTAGTTTAAGAATCTCCCTGAGAAATGACTTGGACAATTCATAAAACTGGTTCAATCAATATATTTATTTTGGAAATACTGTACAAATGAACAGTAACCTGGTCTCAGAATTGGTCATGTGAAGGACAGGCTGTTTTGCTTTTGGGAAATAATGCACTGCTTTTGGTGATGTTTTTCCTTTAATTAAGATGCATCTTTTAAATGAACAATACTGTATTCTCCTAGTAATTGTGTATATTTGGGGAGTCATGGATCAAAGATGAATCACAGATCTGACAGTAACTTTAAAAGTAATTTAGTTCAACCCCCTTATTTTTACAGAAAGGGAAAAAACTAAGTCTCAAAGAGATTCTGTGACTTGGGTGGGTTCACATAATTGTTAAACGGGTGAACTAGAATTTGAACCCAACTTGTCTGACTACAGATCCTGTACTCTTTGCATTGTACTTAGGCTTCTGAAGAATTAGAGGCAAATGCTGAGAGGCACATAGTGGGAGTGAGCTACACAGAAGAAACAACTTATCAGATGTCAGAGACATAAAAATAAATAAATAAATAAATAGATGGGTGGACAAATAAATAGAATATATATGTGTGTATATATGTATGTATGCATGTATGCATGTATGTATGTATGTACGTATGTATGTCACTAGCAAGAGCAAGGATTAACTGATGAGCACCCTGGATCCTTGCGACCTAGCAATGTGAAGAACAGTAGAGGAAGGTCCCCAGAATATATAGGTTAGACCCATCCTCTGCGGAGGATTTACAAGAGGACATGGACAAGACTTTCCCAGAACTGGCAAGCATAGAGTGGTTGCTGCATGGGGAAAGGAGTGTCAAAAGGAGGAAAGACAGAAAGGGCAAAGTCAAAATAGACACTATAGGATTAACATCACTAACTTAACTCCATTAGTAAACCAGTAACATCTCTATTGCTTGTGTTACACTACAGTTTGAGAGTGACTAATGGAATTCTTATTTAGAAAAATCCTAAAATATAAATCCTAGGATTAATCCCTTATAAAAATACACTAATCATCAACTTTTAGACTGCATTACTGCATTTCAAAATCATCAACAGAAAAATGGGACAAATGATTATACCTAGTAATTCTTCCTCACAGCGTTTCAAACCCATCTACCACACTCTACAAATTATTTCATCATGTTTCATACTTGTGGACACTAGCATAATGTTATAAAATAAACTCAAATTCCAACACAGATGCTTTAAAAAACCCTTTTCTAAATGATTAGTCCACTTACATGGCTAACAGTGTAGTCTACGGTATATAATATTATCTGTAGGTCACTACAAACTTTCAATAAATCATTTAAAATTCACAATGCACAATGTATCGTATACATATTAAAAACACCCCAAAATATAAAAGGCAATAATCGTTGGGCAATAACGGTTGTGAATATAATTTGAACTTTTTTTTAAATTTCGTGTTTTTAAAGTCCAATACTATATCAAATGAGATAAAATCCACAAATGTTAAAAAAAAAAAAGAGGGGGTGGGGGAGGCAGCTAAGTGGCACAGTAGATACAACACAGGCCCTGGAGTTAGGAGGACCTGAGTTCAAATCCGACCTCAGACACTTGACACTTACTAGCTGTGTGACCCTGGGCAAGTCACTTAACTGCCTAGCCAAAAAAAAAAACAACAAAAAAACTGACAGGTATATAATGAATCTCATAATCTTATTTTCCTAAGACTTGATAAAGACAATTTCAAAAGCAAAATTATAATTTTCACTTAAAAATCATTAACCTCATTTTGTGACTTTACTATTTATAACAGCAAAAGAAAAAAAAACCTTATTGTCTTCAAAACTGGTTTACATACTTGAGATGAGGTGTTTTTAAAGTGGGTATAATTTCCCCTCCATATTATACTCCTATAACTATTTAGTGTCCACACATCCAGTGATATTGCATGCAAACTAAACATATTCTTGTCAAAAAAAAAAAAAAAAGAACAGGTGCAGGGCTTTCTAGCGGAGATGCTCTCCACCCCCTAGTACTAAATTTGCCTTGGAAAGGGGCTTAAAAATAAACACTTTAGTAATGTCCACTAAAACATTCTTCCCCAACAGATATATCAATAATAGGTTCTTAAATCCAAGTCCCTGCCATACTACAAAAGCCTACACTCATGCTCTTCCCATTTTTGAGGGTGAGGCATACTTCATTTTCCATTTCCTCCCCAAAACGGGATTTGAAATATGTAAATAACTATTCTTTACTCCAACCAGATTTAAGTCCGATCTGCCCTTTTCTCTTTCGCCTAACACCAAGTAGCAGAGAGAAGGAAGTGACTGCTTGGGACTCGGAGAAAGGTAAAGCAACCTGAAGTCACTTAAGAATTATTCATAGTTCAAGAGTTGGTCCGAAGTTGAGGGATGTTAGGAACCCGAGGTGGGAGGGGACACCACTAGGTGAACCGGGTCCCCCGCCCCCCAGCCAGGTTCACCAGGCGGGGAGTGAAAACTTAAAATTCTGCTTGGAGGGAGCTGGGATGCTCCGGGGAGGGGAGGGCAGCTGTCAAAGGGCAGGTGGGGGGTGGGGAGGACCTACTTGGAGGAGGAGGAGAAAAGGGGAGGAGGAAGAGCCCGGCTCGATCCCGGGCCAGGTTTGCTGGCCCGAGGGGGGAAGGGTTAAGGCCTGCCGTGGCGCGCGCGTCCCGCCGTCAGCCTCCCTCCCCTACCCCGGGCTTCGGCGGAGGGATCGTCCCGGGGACACGGATCCCCAGGTTGGGTCGGCGCCGCCGCCGAAGCCCCGGCGGACGCCATACTAGAAACCAAAATGGCTGCCCCGAGGAAGCCTGCACCGCGCAGCCAGTGAGGGCCTCCGAGAAGGCTTCCCGCCGCGGAAGGGAGGAGGGGGGAGGGGGACCCCTGCCGGGACCTGCTGCCGCCGCCGCTCCTCCTCGGCCTGGGCCCCCCAAGGTACGTGCCCTCGGGCCCGGGATCCCCGCGCGGGCCCCACCCCCTCCACCCTCCCGTCGAGGTCCGGTCGTCCTGCCCACCCCCCCCCCCGCCCGGGGTCCCGCGGCCGGCTACCTGCAGTTCGGCCCGCTCCACTTCCCAGTGCGCCCTCTCCATCTCGAAGCGCGCCCACTCGTGCTGGATGTAGTGCAGTATGCCCGGGATCGTGTACTGCTGCGGCCGGGACAACTCCGGGCCCGTAGAGGGGCCCGCGCCCTCCGCCGCCGCCGCCGCCGGCTGACCCCCGCCGGCGGCCGCTCCTCCACCGGCTCCCGCTTGTAGGTTCATGTTAACCCCCGGCCCCTGCTGCTGCTGCTGCTGCTGCCGAGGGGCTGCCATCCCCGGGCCGCCGCCGCCTCCTCCCGGGAGCTCATCCATTGTGTGAGGGGCCCCGGCCGGGGCGCGGGGGGAAACGCGGACTGCCGGGGGCGGGGGGGAAGGAGGAGGAAGGTGGCCCCGCGCGGGCGGCTGGGCGGCGGCCCGCGGGGAGAGGGGCGGGGAGGGGGTCGTTGCTAAGTGTCTGCCGCGGGTCAGAGCAGGGAGCTGCCGGCCGCCGCCATTACAGTCCCTCCTCCATCTGCCCGTCTCACTCACTCACTGGAGGGAGGGGGGGAGGATGGGAGGGGGAAAGGAGGGTAACGTGGGGGGACGGGGGAGGGAAAGGAGTAGTCGTACAGCCGTCGCCCCCGCGCAGCATGCTGGGTAAGCGACGCTGGTGCCGCTGCCGCAAATCTTATAGCCAAATAGAGTCGGGCTCCGCCATTGCGCAAGCGCACTTGAGGAAGGGAGGAGCCAAGACTCGAGATGGGAGGAGCTGTGGGGGGGGTCTCCTCTTTCTCCCCTCCCCCCAGCCGAGCACAGTTCGGCTCCGGGGCTTCGCTCCCTGCGCTGTACACAGTGGCTCCTCTTCTCACTTTTAGGTGCGCGATAAAATCTGGACAGCAGGACTTTCCTCTCTGCAACCTTCCCGAGTAAGCTTGTCCCGCCCCACTCTTTCCCTGCACCCAACCCTGCTGTCTGAGCAAGGAGGCCGGTGCCAGTGGCCGGATTTAAACCGGTTTTGCTCTTCCACCGGCCACCAGCCTCTGCCAGCCCTGGATTCCTAACATTTCTTTCGCATTCCTTTCGTAGTTCACGCCGCCCCAAAGTGTTGGGGCCTCTTTCTCTATCTGTCACTCCCTTTCTCGGATTCTTATCCCATACTAGTTTCTTCTCCGTTAAGGGCTTTTGAGATTCTCTCTTTTGGCAAGTAACCCAAGCTCGGCGGCCCTTGGACTTGGAGACCGGTTTGATGCCCTCCACCCTGGACTTAAGACGGACGACGGTTCCGGGTTTTTTTTGGGGGGAGGATGTAATTTTGCTGCGCTCCCCCCACTTATGTCTTGCTCTGGTCTGGAGGATTTTGCTGAGGGTGACCAGCTTGTGTGTGGCACGTGGGAGGGGGGAAAGAAAGGTAGCCTCTAGAGTTCGTTTTTCTTTTCACCTCAAGCCCTTGCCTCTTTCCTCGGGGTGCCCTCGTACCGCGCCGGAGATCCCCCTAACTTGGGCTGTTTCAAATCCTAGCCATTCAAAGTCCAGGCTGCAGGCGTAGGTGCTTGCATGGACGACACTGGGTGTTTCAGACTTGGGGCGGGGAAATGGGGAAACAGCAGCGCTTTTCCCCAGTGCTATGAAGACATATTCAGTTAAATCAGATAAGATTCTTAGTGTATTTGTAACTTGCATTGAGAGTTCTCTTTTAACACCTCACTAAAGCATTTTTGCCACTTTTTGTTTTCCCAGCACCTAGCATAATGTTTATCAGTCACAGTGTCAAAGCTTTCATTTTACAAATGAAGAAACTGAGGTTCAGAAGTCAAGTGACTTGCCCATGGTTACACATAGTAAATAAAAGAGGTCACGGTTTTAACCCATTTCGTCTTACTCCAAATCCAGTGCTTTTTTCCAGCTTCATCAGGCTTCCAGTTCCTCTTTTTCTGTCCCTTCCATTCTTCTCCAGACACACCCTAGTAAAATTTATCTGTCTTGTGGGCCTTCCCAAGTAACTGGCTTACTATCTCTGATAAGCTAATTTAAAATAAGTATTTGATACTTAAAAGGCTTATTTAGTGTGTTAGCCTCCTGAACAGTAATTGTTTAAAAGAAGCTGTAAATTTTTGAAATGAATTTCTAAAAGTAAGAATTTCAGGTCCTTTGCAGCCTTCCTATGATCTTGGACTGTGTAACCCTTTTAAATGTCCTCTTCAACCGGTCTCAGGGAAATTAAACAAACTTTGCCCTATATCCTTGAGATTTGCTTATATTTAAGTGCTTTGCCCATTTTCTACTGTGTAGAGACAAGTAACTGGTTAATGTGAATTTAGTGACCAGAACAAAATCTCTGATATTCATGGTTTGCTTGGAGTACTGCCTTCAGTTTTATGGGCCATGTCACCAAAGGGACCTTAACAACATTTTTCCTTATTCAAAGGAGGATAAACAAAATGGTACAGGGCCCCAAACCATATCAAGTAAAGAAATGATCAATTAAAAAACAACTTTTTAAGAGTGGATAAAAGTCTTTTTAAGAGCAGTGAGGTTGCACAGTGGATAGAGTCCCGGGCCTGGAGTAGCCGCATCTTCTTGAGTTCAAATGTGGGTTCAGAAACTTACTAGCTATGTGATCCTGGGCAGGTCACTTAACCTTATTTGCCTCAGTTTCTTCACCTGTAAAATTAGCTGGAGAAAGAAATGGCAAACCAGTATCTTTGCCAAGAAAACCCCAAATGGGGTCACAAAGAGTCCAACTAGACTGAAAAACAACAACAAAATTCTTCATCCTTTTCTTAGAATGTACCTTGGCCCTGCTTTCACTTTGCTGCTTTCATTATTAGAAGTGTCTACAATCTTAGAGTAAATAACCTTTTGGTAAAGGCTTGAGTAACTCTCTTCTAAGTTTAAGTGCCTCCCAAAAAAGAATGGATTAAAGAATGAAGACTGTTTAGTCTCGAGGATAAAAAGACTTACAAGAAAGGAGAGAGAGGGAGAGGGGTAGAGCTCAGAATTAGGTGCATATTTGAGGATACAAATACAAAAAAACCCAAAATATTCCTTTCCTGGGGTGGATGGAATAAGTCACATACATCCATAAATATGATGTTAGTTATGGGGGTAAAGTAGAGATCTCAAAAAAGAGTGCTCTAGGAATAATTGAGAAGAGATAGAACATTTTTAGCTTGAGATTGTTGGGATTATAGTTCAGGGAGAGAGGAGGTCTAAACTGAGTCTTGAAACAAGACTGGGATTTTGAGAGGTACAACTGAAGGAGAAATGCCTTCCTAAGCCTGGAGGATAACTTATGCAGATTCACAAAGGCAGAAGATAGCATATAATCTGGGAAATAATTAGGAGCCCAGTTTGACAGGCTCATAGAGTACAGTCAGTCAGTAAACACTGGGGATACAAAGGCAGGTAAAAAACATTCTCTGTTCTTGAAGAGCTCACAGTCCAATGAGGGAGACAACATGCAGATAACTACAAATAAACAATCTATATGCAGGATAAATTGAAAATAATCAATAGAAAGAAGGCACTTGTCTTAAGAGAGATTGGGAAAGACTTCCTGTAGAAAGTAGGGTTTTAGCTGGGACTTGAAGGAAGCCAAAAGTCAGAGATGAGGAGAAAGAGCAGTCCAGGCATGGTAATTTGAAATACAAGGTTAGGTTGGACTCTTCTTAGAGAGGTTATTAAATGTCAATCTAAGGAGTTTGCATTTATTTTAGAGAAAACAAGGAGCCAATAATTCATAAGCACCTACTATATGCCAGGGACCTTGCTAATCGCTGGAGATGCAAAAAGGGACAAAAGACAGTCCTTACCCATAAAGGGCTTACAGTTTAATGGGGGAGACAACATGCAAAGAAATATATGCAAAGCAAGCTATGTACAGGATAAATAGGAAATAAAAAGAGAAGGAAGGCAATGGAATTAGGAGAGATTGGGGGAGGCTTCCTGTAAAAAAGGACTTAAAGAAAGCCAGGGAGCTCAGTAGTCAGAGTAGAAGATGGAGAACATTTAAGGCATGGGAGCGGAGGGGTGGCTGGGGGGGGGGGAGTGGAACCACAGCCAGAGAGAATGCCCAGGGCCGAGAGATGAAATGTCTGTTCACCAGGAGAGTTGCTTGTTCAGACCTATGCATAGGAAAGTAGAGATGTAGAACTGGAGTTCTGTAGAGAAAATGGGTCTGGATATGGAAATGTCAGAGTCATCAGTGTAGAGTAATAATTAAACTTATATGGGAGCCAATGAGATCACAAAGGGAAAACGTTTAAAGATGAAACGAGGGCCCAGGACAAAGCATTGGAGGAGGCACTTAGGGCATAAGAGAAGATCAACTAGCAAAGGTCAGATTGGTAGAAAAAGAACCAGAAAAGAGCAGTGTTTCAGAAGCCAAGAGAAGAGAAACTCTCCTGGAGGGGATGGTCATTATTGTCAGAGACTGCAAAAAGATCAAGGAGTTGATTTAGAAATGACTCATCAAATCTAGCCACCAGATCATTGGGAACTTTGGAAAATAAGTAATAAGGAAGAAGAGGCAGCCAGTGTATATTACTTTTACTAGTAGGTTAGCAATAAAAGGAAGGAGAGAGATACTGAATAATTTGAGGGGATAGCAGGCTTAAAGAAATGTGTTTTGGTTTGGGGTTTTTTTTTTTAAAGATGGGGAGACTTGAACATGTATATAAGGCATCATTGAAGAAGATAGATAGGAAGATATTGAAGATGAGAATGATAGAGCAAGCTTCTAAAGAAAGGAGCAGAATGAGTAAAAAGCACAAATAAATCCACAGAAACAAATGAGCACAGTAACTTAGTGTTTGGTAAACCCAAAGATCCTAGCTATTTGGGAAGGAATTTAGCATTTGAAAAAACTGTTGGGAAAATTGGAAAGCAGTCTGGCAGAAACTAGGTATAGACCAACAACTCACAGCACATATCAAAATAAGCTACAAATGGATACATGGCTTAAACATCATGGGCGACATCATAAACATATTAGAGGAGCAAAGAAGAAATTATTTTTTTGATCTTTGGATAGGGGAAGACCTCATGACCAAACAATAGATAGTTACAGAAGGTAAATCAGATTATGTGGAATTTTAAACTTTTGGTGTATACAGCTAAATACAGCTCAGATTAGAAGAGAAACAGGTACATGGGAAAACTGCAACAGGTTTCTCTGATAAAGGTTTATTTCTAAGATATATAGGCTGCAGATTCAAATATGTAAGAATATGAGTTATTCGCCAATTGATAAATGGCCAAAGGATATAAACATGCACTTTTCAGAGGAAGAAATCCAAGCTATATGATAAAAGGACACTAAAACACTTATAATTAGATCAATGCAAATGAAAACAACTCTGAAGTTCCACATGACACCTAGCAGATTGGCAAAGTTGACCAAAAAAAAAAGAAAATGACAAATGCTGGAACACATTGTTGGTATTGCTGTGAACTGGCCCAGCCATTCTGAAAAGCAGTTTAGAACTGTGCCCAAAAAGCTACTATACTATGCGCAATTCTTTGATCTAGTGATACCATTACTAGGTCTATACCCTAAAGAGATTAAGGAAATAGGAAGAGGACCCATATATCCAAAAATATAACATCTCTGTTTTGTAGTGGCTAAGAATTAGAAACTGAAAGGGTGCCCATAAATTGTAGAATAGCTGAGCAAGTTATATGAATGTGATGGAATACTGCTGTGCTGTAAGAAATGATGAAGAGGATGGTTCCGAACAGTCAACCTCGAAAGTCTTAGGAACTCTGATCCATACAATGGCTAACCACAATTCCAGAAGACTCATGTAGAAATGAGCTGACTCAGTGCCGACTGAGACATTTTTTGGATGTGGCCTTCCTGGGAATTTGCTTTATTTGACTGTACATATTTGTAATAGAGGATTTTGTTTTTCCTTTTTTTCCTCAA